ATATTGTCTCCTCTTTACTTTCAAGCTTATATTGCTATTTGTTGTTGTTAAGAGGGTGTTTGGGTTTTCATTTTGAACTTCAAAAGGACTTATTGACTTATGGTAATGAGAAATGGAGTTTTTAAAAAAGTGTTTGGAACTTTGGATTAGATTTTGTAGTGGAAAAAGTGAATAAATCAATAAGTTGTTTTAAAAAGTGTTTGTCTTAGCTTATACATGTTTTAATTAAGGGTATTTGCTTTTACAACACAAAAAGTTATAAGGAGTTGTGAAAAGTTAGAAACCCTAACTTATTGAAATCTCCTTTTTGAAGGGTTCATATGAAATTATTTTAAAAGTCTTTTTTCATATCGTTTAACACTTTTTTGACTTATTAACTTTTAAAAAAGCCAATAAGTCAATAAGTTGTTCTTAGAGGGTGTTTGGGTGTCCATTTGAAAATAACGTTTTAACTTATTGACTTCTTGAAAAGTCAATAAGTTAAAAAAAATGTTTGGGTATTAAAAAAGTCATTTTGAAACAACTTTTAGATTAGTCTTTCAAAAGGAGTTTTATAGAAGTCCCAATTCGTAACTTTTTGAAATACCTTTTGACTTATTAAACACCTAAAGACTAAAATACCGTTAACTATAATCACAAAATCGCCAAATCCCTAGCCATCGACATTCTGTTACGTTTCTGCTCAACATAGACAAGATGTCGTCTCCCACAGATTAGCTCCGACCCTCCTTAGTCTTCCAAATTGTCGGCAATATTTTATCATAGATTCCGGGTGTGTTTTGATCAACTTTATCGTCTGCAAGGAAGAGGCTACAATCGTTTTCTGCAAGGAGGAGGCTGCGTGCGATCGTTTTCTGGAAATAGGTAATACCGATTTTTTTTTTCCATCTGATCGGTTCTAAAGCTTATAATTTAGATTCTGATTCTTCTTATTTGTGTTATGTGATTGATTGTTCAATATGATTTTAAAGCAAATTTTGCATATTGATTGATAAATGTTTTCTGATTTTGAAGATTATCCATTGGTTTCACTGTTTCAATTTTTATTTGCATGTGATTGTTTTGATTGCTGACCTTCAATCCGTTTTGAAGCAGAATTTTTTACCTAGTTAATTAATATGTAGTTGCTTCTTAATTTCACCTTCCATATTGTAATATTATTGATAATGTAGTTGATGGAATCTACTTGACTGTTATGATTTATGATTATGAAGCTGTTTTGAAGTCGGTTCTTTGGCTGTTTTGATTGATTTTAAATATGATTTTTCAGAAAAATGGACCAAAATGATTTAAATGTTGTTAATTGTGAAACACTTAAGACAAATAATAAACCAAAAATCATTTGGGATAATGATACTTTGATGAAGTTTATCAAATTGTGCTTGGTTGAAAAAGAGAAGGGGCATAAACCCGGTACTCATTTCAATAAGACCGGGTGGGCAAATTTAGAGAAAGCCATGCAAGAAGAAACAGGAAAAGTATTTACTCAAAAACAAATAAAAAATAAATGGGACAACTTGAAAAAAGATTGGAAACTTTATGACCGATTAATGAGACTTGAAACCGGAATTGGTGGGACAAGAAGCTTATTAGATGCATCGGCTGAGTGGTGGGAGGAGAAAATAAAGGTAATATTTACCATTCTTTTTAATCATTTGTAGTTAGGATTGCATAGTGATATATATGAATTAAACATCATATGGTTATATTGTAGGTAGATAAAGACTTTGCCAAATTTAGGGGCACAAATTTGTCTATATATGAGACGTATTATGCTCCTTCGTTTTGGGATTCAGTTGCTACCAGAGATCATTCTATGACTCCGTTACAATTTCTAAATGATGATGAACGAGAGGATAACATGGAGGGCAATGGAGATAATGAGGAAATCAATTTAGGTGATGATGAGCCTCTTTTTCCTAGTTTCCCTCAAACTAGTTCAAGTAAAAGGAAGAAGTCCAAGGATATTTCTAACAATCGTTCAACCAAGACTAAAAGTTCATAAGATACGTAACACACGTACACCATGTCACACATTGGATCACACATGGAACATATTTATTAATGACATTTTACATGGGAGTGGTAGGCTGTGTTACGAAATGTTTAGACTGCACGTACCAGTATTTAGACAATTATGTTTTGATCTTGCTACATATTATGGGTTGAAAGGCACACGTCATATTTCTATTGAAGAGTCGGTAGGAATCTTCTTAATAACTTTGGCTCATGGATGTACAAATAGGTTCCTACAAGAAAGTTTTAATAATTCGGGGGAAACAGTTCATAGGCATTTTTATACAGTTTTGACAACCGTTTTCAAGATGAGTGCCGACATAATCAAGCTAGACCCTAACTATAAGGATATTGTACCCGAATATATACATATATATATATATATATATATATATATATATATATATATATATATTAAATAATCCAAATTATTATCCAATGTTCAAGGTAATATCTAATGTTCTAGTTAGTTTAATGGTTTACACTTTAACATGAATTTTTTTTTCTGTAGGATTGCGTTGGCGCTATAGATGGGACACACGTGAGGGCATCAGTTCCACAATTTGAAGAAGCAAAATACATTGGTCGAAAGGGATATGCCACATAAAATATCATGGCTGTTTGTGATTTTAATATGTGTGTTACATTTGTGTTGGCTGGATGGGAGGGAACCGCACATGACACAAGAATTTTCAATGAAGCCTTACGGAGAGCGATGCTTCATTTTCCACATCCAACGGGTGGTTAGTATAAATTTTTAGTAATGAAATTTGTATGTCTTTCATACTTGTTTGAAATGTATAACAAACGTTTGCTTTATATGCAGATAAATATTACGTTATTGATGCCGGCTACCCGAATACTAGAGGGTATCTTGCTCCATACAAAGGTACGAACATTCGTTATCATCTACCAGATTTTCGACGTGGACAGAATGTTGCAATGCGTAATCCTCGTGGGCCGAAGGAGTCATTTAAATATCGCCACTCATCATTGCGCAATATCATTGAACGAACTTTTGGAGTGTGGAAAGCTAGGTGGGCGTGTCACACCCCAAAACCGAGAACGGCGGAAACGGTCTGGGGCAGAGGACGTCATGTATGCATCATAACAATTGCAAAGTAGTAAACAAGCAACAACATCATCCATTGCATTAATAGTATAATTTTAATTACAATTGTTTTCTTTCATAGTACAAGTCAACAAGATAACTAATCAAAATAAAAGACGAGTCTTGACTGCTCCGTCTTCTCTAAACCTTGCATCGACACCTGTCTATTTGTAACTTGAGAATACAAGTTATTTTGAAAGTGTAGATCAGCATTTAAGATGGTGAGTTCATAAGTATTTAATGTCATTGCTTTGATTAGTTGATATGAAAGACCGGTGAATGATTGATGAAACATTTAGTATAAGTATGAAAACTCTAGAAAATCCCATATTTCCTACTAGTATAAAAGTAGTCTTCTACCAAGACTCGAATGTTTTGAAAGTACGCATCACTTGAAAATGTGACGGTTTTTCCCTGTTTAACTATTATTAGTTACTCCCTTAAGTATACCTGAAATGGTATCAACCTAAAACATCCGTAGATTGTTCATTTACATCTGTTGCTAACAGCCGGGTTTAGGAATAGTTAGTCCCTTATGTATACCTGCGACGGTATCAACCTAAAACATCCGTAGATTATTCATTTACCTCTGTAGCTAACAGTGGTTCTCGGAATGGTTAGTCCCTCAAAGTACCCTTTAGTACTAGGATATAAAGTCCAATCTATCTCGTCGATGATGTGATTGTATCACAAGGTAAAGATAGAAAGGCGAACTATATAACAGTATCTAGACATCTAACATGTAATAGTAATTTGCCATATAATGTCTATGTAGAAGTATTCATGTACAAGTATTCATGTAAGAGTATTCTTTCATATAGCATGTAGTCTAGACTCATGAATGACCTGACTCTGGTGTAATTTCTTGTAGTAGGGAAAATGTTTTGTTTACTCTAAACTATTCCTATAATAGTTTACTAGAATGTAACTGATGAGTGTCCAAGTAGGTTTATACCCCTTGCTACCCAAGAGTATCGGAACTAAATTTACTGATGGAACATTTATGACCATATATGTATACATGATATATAACAAATATTTAAACGACCTTCGGAGGAGTACCCGATATCCCACCAGACCACATCCAAATCGAGGAAAAGGAAACAGGGTTGATAGCCTTCCTAAGTCTTTTAAACATTTCTTATATAATTATACATATAGAGGCATGCAATTTATAATATAAAACCATAAAGAAGTTTTGTAAATCCGTTGAAAAGTCTAATAAAGAATTTGTGACTTGATGTCAGTTTATAAAATGATTGAAAGTATTTTGTTTGATAAGACAGTTTAAGTACACGAAAAACCACTGTTTGAAAACACCTTTGTAGCCGAGTTTGAAAGGAAGCTTACAGTGTGTAAGACAGTTTGATAACGAGCTTTAATCATGTAAAAACGTTTAAGAAAGTCATTTGAAGTAATATGTTTAGTAAAACTGTTAAACTTGTAGTAAATCCATTTGTATACTAGTTATAAATCCCATATGATTGATTTATTAACAACAAGTATCCCAAAATATTGATGTTTTTCGTGTCAAAATAATCGTATGTTTGTAGTACCAAAGATGGACACATATACATACAGTATAAGCGGAGTGTTTGATTTATATATATATATATATATATATATATATATATATATATATATATATATATATAACAACACTTTTCATTTCAAAAGCTATGATGTTATCGTGATACATTTTGTATACAAAAGTTTCCTATGAAGTTTATAAATCACATATGATTTCGTTGATAAAAAGCGTATAATGAACTTTATTATATAACACACGACAATAATCGAGTATTTAACTTGTATTCCCCCCCTTAAAAGCATATAAAAGTATTTATAAAACATTTAAAAGTGTAGTTTATAGGGGTATGAACTCACTTGATTGATTGAAGAAAGCGTGACGAAAACCGAGCAGAACTTCTACTCGAGAAAGCGGATCTCTCGAGATTCTCGGGAAATCTCGAGAGTGTAAAACTTTCTTCCCACCTTGGATATGAAAACCGGGCCTTTGGGATGATTCCGAGGGTTGAAACGCAGAGCTTCGGCGCGAGAAAGGAAGGAAATTAGCAATTTTGGCCGGCACCCTCGCATCCTTTTTATAGGGGTCAGAGAGGTTGTGTTACGTGGGGCGTACTAGAGTACGCGCTGCGTACTCATGCGTCATGCATGAGCGCATCCTCGGTTGAAACATTGGAGCGACGTGGACGAACCGGAGCCTAGCATCTTAGTACGCTGGGCGTATGATGGTACGCTGGGTGTACGAGGGATCGGACCGGTGACTCCTTCTTCGGATAATACCGAGCTTTAATTTAATTTATATTTAAATTAATTAACAAACTTGAAAAACTCATATATTTCTCATACGAACTCCGTTTTCGATGTTCTTTATATCCACGCGAAGGTGAGACTACAATCTACAACTTTCGTATAGACTCCGTCGGCTAGTTTTGAATTTATTTTTAATATTATATTTTTAATAGGTCGGGATAGGAAAAGTCCGTTAAAGTTCCATAACTTCTTCATCCGACGTCCGTTTTCGTCAGACTTTTTACTGTTGTGCTAGTATTGTTGAGCCCTTCGATTCTCATTTAGATTGTGTCTGCCAAAAGTCTCTCGATCTCTATTTCGAGTTTTTAGCTGTCTACTACTATATCTGTAACTTAGAAAAATCACAACTTCCTCATACGAAGTCAGATTTGGACGTTCTTTTTATGTACGTTTACGGTTTGATGATATCTAAAACTTTCATTTAGATACCTAAGGCCAAAAACTATTGTATTGAAACTTCGCGTTTTACGTTTATCAGTATTGCCGGTTTTGCCGAGAATCTTCGATTGGTCATAACTTCTTCGTTATAACTCGGATTTTAGGGTTCTTTATATGTATGAAAACCTTGACACGATTCCTACTACTTTGTTTAACCCAAATAAGATTTTTGGAAAGTTAAATTTTGACCTAAATTTGACTTGCGTTCCATCATATTGCCTCGAAATATCGGGTTGTCACATCATCCCCCTGTTAGAGGGAATTTCGTCCCGAAATTAGAGTTTAAGCAGAATTGATACTACGCTACGGATAGAAGTTTAATTTGATCTTTGCGTTCCTAAGTGAATTCAAATCCTCGCATGGCCTTCCAGTGAACCTTTCACTATCGGGGAACGACTTTGTTTCTTTCGTTTGCCTTACTGGTGTGATAACTCTTCTTGGTCGAATGTATGTTGGATGTTTTGTGGACTGTGAAATTAGTACACCTTGTACCCTACAAGTAGTGTCTCCAGATCTTCAGAGCGATTATCACTGCTCCTGACTCAAGATCATGTGTTGTATAGTTAACTTCCTGTGTCTTAAGCTGTGTTGAGGTATAGGCAGTGACCTTTCCTCTTGCATAAGAACACAACCTAGTCGTACTGATTATGAAGTCAAAACCTTGTGGTCGATTAGATGTCGTGAAGATCTAAAATAAGGTATGGTTACTCATGAATTAAGGGAAAAGGATAGGTACTTTTGTTCTATCTGTCTTCCTTGTCCCAATCGACAGAAAGGGCATGCGTTGGGCTTCTAAGTTTATTGCATGGCAGCACGATCACTCGTAGTCTTGGGAGTCTCCGTCCTGAAGTTCATAGTAGAACCCATACCAGGTTCATCAATCATAGTCTCGGGTATATGAGCCATATATAAATAGGCTTGAAACTGTGGGTCTTTGGATTGAACTTGACGTACTACACGAGTGGTACTTTGGGGCGGTTTGTTGAATTTTTCTTCGGAAAGGATGAGAAACAATAAGTGCTCTATGCACGAGTACTTTGGTATTCTGGAATGACGGCTTTGCTAGAAAGAAAATTTCGGAGGAAGAGATGTACGTATGAAGC